AGAGTGGATTTCATAGGCCACGAAATCTTTCTGAGATTTAGCTACAGAAGGCAGGCTAACTGAAGTTATTGTTCAGATTTAGCAGTGGGCAGTACATTTAGGGCAGTTGGTCACCCCCCCCCCCCCCCCCCCCCGTCACCCCCCCCCCCCCCCCCCCCCCCCATAAACCAGTGATATTTTGTGTATGTGTATATTGGTCAGAGGCAAAAAATCAAGTTCCCAAGTGGGAATACTTGATGTTTAAAAACATTTTCTTAGCCATTTGGAAAGTGATGAGTAGACCTGCCCTATCAACAGTTTGGAATAATAATTTATAGGCAGAAATGTGTTTTGAAAAAAAAAATGGACAAATATCATCAAAGAAAACAGCAGATAACTTTGCTATGAATGAGAAAGACACATCCAACATTCATTTGAGGGTAAGCAGGTAAGAAGATTTGAAAAATGAAGTGTAAACAAACGTGTGTTGCTAATTGCTTCAGATAGCCAGAGTGCACAAAGTGCTTAATTATTGAAACCTATTACAGCACTCATTTGTAAAGAAGAATGACAGTAATTTACAAGACAGTGAATTATCAGATAAGAAGTTAGTGTATCAGTTTGAACCCGTGGGTTAAACTCTGTTTTGTTTTTATTTTAATAATGTGCTTTTTTTTTTTACAAATTATGGTTACTTGTTTAATCACAATAAAATATTGACTACGCTGTGATGTAGAAGATTGTGTTGAATCACTTGTTTTCTTTATGTGAAACATTTAATCACAACAGTTTATGTTCATTAATGCCACACTGTAAGCGTGTGGTGAAGATGGTTATGACAACACGCAGGATTCAGGATCCCTGTCCACGTTGGTAGATATGGGAGTGCAACCTGGAGCAGCCAGGCATGAACATTTCACTAAGGGCACAAGACATTTGAATAGTCAGTCAGTTCAGAGTTGGTGTGATCATTTGTTTTATGCTTATGGTCTATTAAAGAGTTGATCGGAGCACCTATGGATCTGTCTGGATTGCTTTGATGATAGTTTCTACTAATAACTATGCTCAGACTACATTATTAGTTAAGTTGATGGTGGGGAGGAGAATCCTACTAACATTAAGATTTCAGAGGTTTGTGTCAAGGTTTCCGCAGCTCGGTAAATATAATGAAATAAAAGAAAGCTTATTTGCATGCTTCCAGACATCCTTGCTTGCACCGGTTACACTGCGCACAGGATACACTTGCACTGGTTACACTGGGCACAGAAAACACTTGCACAGGATACACTTGCACTGGTTACACTGGGCACAGAAAACACTTGCACTGGTTACACTGGGCACAGGATACACTTGCACTGGTTACACTGGGCACATGAAACACTTGCACAGGTTACACTTGCACAGGTTACACTTGCACTGGTTACACTGGGCACAGGATATACTTGCACTGGTTACACTGGGCACATGAAACACTTGCACAGGTTACACTTGCACTGGTTACACTGGGCACAGGATACACTTGCACTGGTTACACTGGCCACAGGATACACTTGCACATCTTACACTGGGTTGGTGTGGCCGTTAGGGATGCCCTAATTACAACTTCTCTGAAGGTTAAACAGGGTATTGGGATCTGCCCTGTTGGTCTGCTATCCGGATTGAGATTCTTTTGTCTGTGAAGGGGACAAACTGATTGATCATTGCTGCCTGACTGCAAGAACATTAAGTGTAAATGGGTGAGGTTAGACAACAGCATTATGTGGGAAGTCAAAGAAGAAGGATAAACCAACAAAGAAGCAGGATTCAAAGCAAGCAATGTTTCAACCTGTCTTTGTCAACATAAACCACATCAAGAAGAATTCTAGACACCAGCTATATATATTTATGATACAGAGGAATGAAAAGAGATGCTGCGAAACAAAACATAAATAAAAGTATCAGTATTTATATTGGAAAACCTTGTCCCTACTGAAACCTGCCCCCAGGACTAATTTACGAGAATGCACTGATCAGCTCATCAAGAAAAGCATAGTTAACAGTATCATCACTGACATTTGAAAGTATCTGGTTTTCTGTAATAATAAAGATGTTTGTATCAGGCTGCCATACTTGTGCATGAATCTCCTTGTGTGTTTGATTTTATGACAGGGGTGGCCAACTTTTTAGGTTTGAGGGATAACTCAGAAATCACTAGCTGTCTGTGGTATAGAGTATATAAAGTAGATCGCCAGTTGTTTCTGAAATGAAAAGACAGTAAGTCACAGACCACCATAGGCTTTCCTTTCAAGGCTTGCCAATAAACTAGTAGGTCACAATCATTGCATTGGACACCCTTGTTTAATGAGAATTTGAAGGATTATTAAGGTATCTATAAACTCAAGAGTGGATGTAGATAGTTACTTGAGGTGGCAACAACAAATGGCAATTTTTGTCTCAGGTGCTGAGTTTGTAAAGAACCTTTTCTTCATCTTCTTGAAACTTTCTGCGTTTTTCTCCGGTGGTACATCTGTCGCAATAATATGCCACAGTAAAAGACGGTAGCAAATGTGGAGTTTATATCTATCTTATTGATTAATGCCTGAAAAGCTACAATAGAATCTGGTTGCATTTGTTTGGTTAGTGAGTTTCTTCTTCTTCACATTCACCGGCTGTAAAATCTGGCACAAAGCTCTGGTTATTTGTCACCTCCGGACTATAGTTCCCCCAACCCCCCTTCCCAAGAAACTGATTGTTGTGTGCATCCATTTGACAGATCTGGCTTATCTGTGTGCAGATTGTTGGTTCCTTGCCTTCCATGTAAATACACTCCGACTTCGAAGGATGCCCCCAGTTAGTCATCTCATATGATATGCTTGTTGGGGAGGCTATGGGTCTGTTCTTGTTTTTCTTAAACTGGGGCCCAGGAACACACACAGGGAGGTTGCTGAGTTTTAGTAGCAATTGGTTTTAACTGTACTGGTATTAAGTCAGAGTGAAAAGGATTTGTGTAGAGCAGTGATTTCCAGTTAGCTAAAACCTGCCAACACCTCTTGTTTTCAAAGTTATGCTATAGATCCCACACCTTTTAATAGTCATACTGATCTGAAAAACTTGGTGTAATTTATAAATATTAGAATCGCAAAAAAGATTGCATTCTCGGGTTTTTTTTAGCATTCGCCGGCTGTACACTCTGGAGGAAGTTCTGGTTGTTCGTCAACTCCTGGACTTAGTCTAAATCCAGAACTTGAATTTTGTATTCACATTTAGTTTACGTATTTGGTTTATTTGTATGCAGACTTTTGGTTCCTTGCCTCTCATGCATAAGCATTTCAACTTTAAAGAAAATACCCCTGATTAATCATCTTCTACAGCATGCTTATGTGGGGGGGGGGTCATTAAGTTGATATTTCCAAAATGAAGCCCTTGAGCGTATATTATTATTTTTTTTTAATAATATCACAGACCCCTTACATTTGTTCTGCAGATCATATGATCAGAAACATCGGTGTCGAGATATTCTTGTAGCCAGGTATAAAAGTAGCATTTCCACAGGAACTCGTGTTGGTTCGCTTTCTGCTTCCCAAACCTAGAAACCACAGGGGTGTGCAAGACTGACTCTGGAACTTTATATCTATGAGAGAATCATATTAATATGTAAGCACATCATGTTTCAGAGCAGTACATGGTACAATTAAGCCTACGTTTTGACTCTTCTTTATTAGTTATCTCATTGCCAAAAAACTCCAACCCAGTGACCACAGAAAAAAAAAGGAAAGAAACTCTTTTCCATTGGGAATATAATGCTAGACCTATGATTTGATAGAGCAGTTCACGCTTCATGGGTGATGTGGCCAACATTGTGCTAGCCACCTTTACTTTTCAGGAATTACCTGGTCAGCCCAAAACAGCTGCATTACACTTTTTATATCTCTGGCGTTTTTTCCCGTCATTGTTCTTTCCAGCTTCCACTTTATTTATCATGAATCTACTGACTGTCCATGATTCAGTTCCACTGGATTTGCTCTATGTACTATTAAGAACTTTTCTCACCCTTAATAATATTTTGGTTTTTTGTGTGTGGTAACTATAGTCATACCCACTGTGTATACACATTAGGCAATTGCTGGCAGCACCACAGCTGTTATAAAACTCTACTGGCCACTGTCCAAAGACTTCAGATCATCAAAAACCTCCAAAGTCCGAAAAATGACTTTCTTGGGGCAATGGTGTTAAAGAATGTGCCACATGACCCACTTGTGTAGTCTGTAGCTGTGTGACTATAGTAGTGTACACAAATTTCATACAGAAACACAGAGGGCTATCAACATGGCTCTGCTCTTGTTTTTAGGTGTGTTTGATTTATTTATTTTAGAATGCTGGACATAAATATTCATGTACTTGTTTATTTGAAGACTGAAACTGGGAAAACAAAAGCTTGCAGTGCTTGTTTCTTTTGAAGTGTGTCAAGCAATGTGCTTTTTGTGTGTGAATGTTTACGGACTACCAGTGACTGAATAAAGTGTGTATATCAAGCGGTTAACATTTATCACTTTAATAAAAAGCGGTTAACATTTATCACATTAATAAAAAGCAGTTAACATTTATCACATTAATAAAAATGTGCCACAATAGTTTAATTTTGTTGTCTTCTTGCACTTGTGTGTGTCTGAGTGTGTCCTTTTTCGGTTTTCTGTGTGGGAATGTCTTGTTTCACTTCTGCATGTTTCAGCTGTACTGTTTTACTTCTATATGTGGTGGCCACTGTGATGCAGCGGCTAGACGCTCAACTGTAGATCCGAAGGTCGCAGGTTCAGGTCCTGAGAGAGCTTGATTGTTTTTTTTTGTTTTAACATGAGCTTGGCTTCCAGGTTTACCCAGCCTTATAGGGTACCAGGTAAAGTCCTGGGAAGTAAAGGTGGCCAGCATAATGTTGACCATATCACAAACCAAGTGTTGATGATCTATAAAATATAGGTATGCCCAATGCGTCTGAAGGTGTGGAAAAGGGTCCTTTCCTAACCTTTTTTTTAAACTATACTTACTTCTATGTGTTCAGGTCTTTTTTTTTTTTTTTTATGCACCTCACTGATTGCTTTTAAATACACACCTGGTGGTGTTTAAAATCACTTCTTTATAAGGTGACTTTAAGAAAAAAAATTATAAGATATTTAAGAAAAGTTCAAATGAATAGTAAATATATACAGCATTTTATTTTGTTTGCATATTTTGCTAACATACAAATTAAACAAACAAATCTGCAACATATATTTCATAGCTTACAAAAAGTTAGTTGTGTGTCCTTACAGGATGTTGCAGAATGAACTCCAGCATTGTTTGGCTGTTGTGGTTTTTCTAGGCAAATTTTATGTTTAGTAGTTTGCCACTGCTTTCTTAATGGTCAGCTCTCGGTACCTGTATCAGAACGAATGCAAGACAAACTGTCTGCAGTTGCGATCGAATCTAGCACCTCAACATTACAAAGCATATTTGCAGCGCCTAAGTCACAGAAGCCGACCTTCATAGCTTACATTCATAATTCCGCCCACACTGGACCACGTGTGTTACTTCATAGCTTACATTCATAATTCCGCCCACACTGGACCACGTGTGTTACTTCATAGCTTACATTCATAATTCCGCCCACACTGGACCACGTGTGTTACTTCATAGCTTACATTCATAATTCCGCCCACACTGGACCACGTGTGTTACTTCATAGCTTACATTCATAATTCCGCCCACACTGGACCACGTGTGTTACTTCATAGCTTACATTCATAATTCCGCCCACACTGGACCACGTGTGTTACTTCATAGCTTACATTCATAATTCCGCCCACACTGGACCACGTGTGTTACTTCATAGCTTACATTCATAATTCCGCCCACACTGGACCACGTGTGTGTACTTCATAGCTTACATTCATAATTCCGCCCACACTGGACCACGTGTGTTACTTCATAGCTTACATTCATAATTCCGCCCACACTGGACCACGTGTGTTACTTCATAGCTTACATTCATAATTCCGCCCACACTGGACCACGTGTGTTACTTCATAGCTGTAATATAACTGTATGTGGCTGAACAGGGTTTTAAGATGTGTATCTGTTTGATTCTCATCCATGAAATGTTATTTATACAGATTACAATCTTGGAGGGAAGACATGTTTATAAACAGTTCTAAATGTGACAACAATAACCTTTGGCTGCCAGATCGACCCAAACTGAAAAAGTAAAAGCGGCTAGTATAATGTTGACCACATCGCTCACAGATAGGTCCATAAATTATAGTCAAAGCAATGTTTCCCTGTTGTAAATTTGAACAAATAAGACACAAACAGTAGACTGCAAAATGTATCGCCTGGTGTATTTCGCAGTATCTCGTCAGATGCATACTACAGTAACAATTTAATATATTAAATAAATAATGGAATCCTTTATAACTGCCCTGGTAAAACAGGCAGATGCTTTTGAGAGTGGTGGAATTTGTACTTCAGTAACAAAAGTGTAAAAGAGAGGATCGACTTCACTGCTCTGAGTTTTATCCCATTTGACTAAATCTCTCTCTCTCTCTCTCTCTGCAGAATGGCTAGCCGTCTGCCAAGAGGGTCACACAAAGCACGGATTAAGTAGCTCTAGTGAAGATTTCCAGGATCTCCTTAAAAAATGCTACCCATGAACAAAAATATGCAGTCGTGAAACGAACCCATGACCTTCATAGCTTGATGGCTTGACCATTTCACCACAGAGACTCCCTTTCTGTTATAAAATATTTTTATGTTTCTCTTCTACAAAAGTGTAGTTCAGTTTCCTGTCTTGCCCCTTGATATCTTATCAAATGCCACCTCTCGTCTCTGTTGTCTTCAACACAGTGAAGTTACAACCCACCCACCCTACTGTCTGTTTTATCTTATGCAGAAGTATCTTGGGGGGGGGGGGGGGGGGCTCCATTGGAAGACTGAGCATCAATTGTGATAACTCCCCATGTGGGTTCTGGGCCCCCATTGACCAGCATGTCGCAGGAGGTGACTAGGGTGTCTCCTTCAGAGTCAGAGTGCATCTGCCTGAGAGCCAAAGAACCAAGAGTCTGCATAAAATTAGGCCAGATCTGTAAAACGGGTGCACCGGCAAAACTCAGATCTTGGAACAAAGCCAAGGTCTAGAAATGGACAAACAACCAGGACTTTCTGCCAGGGTTTACAGCAGATGAACGCAAATAAATAAACAGTATGTGATAACATTTCTCCCATTAAAAATGTTACAACGATCGACCTAGGACTGTGATTGTATTCTGGGAACATCCATGACAGGAACTGACTTCAGGCTGAATATGCAGAATGTTCTTTTTGTAGAGAATATTTCCCCACTGACTCTACACCAGTTGCTGGCCTTGTTTGATCTTTAGCTTGCTGAGAACTGGAAAGTTTATTTAAAATATTTCAGTTTTGTTAGAGGAAGTAAGCATTGTCAGGTATTCATTAAAACAGTATTTGCCAGTCAGCTAAGACCTACAAACCCCCTCTTAGTTCTAAAAGTTTGCCATGGTCCTCATACATTTTAACAGTCGTACTTGAAGTTTTTAATATTTCAGAATCACAAAAAAGTATTACATTCTAAAGTTCAGGGGATTTTTGTAACTGATACCAGGGCTTCCTTAAAATTTGTTCTGCCAAATGGGAAATTTTGCATTACTGCATTAACCCTGTTGCCCAGAGCAGTTGCAAAAACCGATACTTCTAGATGCATAGTTAATAAATGCTTTTGGCTGAGTTTGCGATTGTGCAGCATTTAGGAGGCCAGGATATAAATACAGTAACTGAAAAATTAGCATTTTGGGGATTTATTCACGTGATCTATCAATTCCTGTATAGTCTATTATTATCATCATACAGATCCCCCAAGTACTCTTTCCTTCTTTTAATTATGTTACTCTGCCCCATTAATATTTCAGTTTTTTATTTTTTATTTTAAACACCCAATGATGTTACATCTCTTCTTCCGTGTTAATATACTAATCTGTTGGTGCATGGAATGTGAATCTTTCCTGAAATTGTTCCCAGTCCCTGCTGGTTCAGCCAGGTTTCTTTAGCCTCTTTGCATTTGTTAACTATTTCTTTATGTATACTATAATATTTTTTCTTTATGATTCTTTTTCTTTCTTCTCTCATCCATCATCTGCACAATTTCATTTGTCATCAATTTTTGTTGTTGCGACTATGTGTTGGAGGAATAACTTCTTTTGATGTCCATGGTGTTATATCTGTTTTGCACAGTGACAGTGTACTGTTCCTTAATTTCTTTATCTGTTTTTAAGTATTCATAAATTTAACTTGATGTTCTGTGGGGTCTTCTTTATAGTCTTCAGTTTTAACTTTCCTGTAAGTGGAACATGCAGTCTGCTCCTGGTCTAGTCTTTGCTCCAATTCAACTGCTCCTGAATCTTCTTGAAATGAATATATAATCAAGTCACCAGATACACACTGTTTTGTAGACCCTGGAGAATGAATCCTATTTAATGCTTCACACTGTTTATTGATTACTTCTTCTGCATTTGGAGCACTTAGTTCATTGCTGCAGACATCACCCGCCTCCATTCATTTCCGTGATTGACTCTCCCTTTTCCAGCTAGTGACTCCATGGTTTTGTCTGCTTGGATATTATCTCTCCAACGCCCTTTTGGTCTGTTTCATGGTCTACAGCCATTCAGTTCCCTTCTGTCATCGGACCTTCTCTCTATATGCCCCAGCCATTTCAGTCTATTAGTTTTCATTATGCTAGTGATCAATAGTGATTTAAACATATTATGAATTTTATAGTTGCTTCTCATTCTCAATTCCCTGATGTTTACTGACTGCTGCCTTTATGCATCCTCATATATTTTAGAGAAAAAAATGTAACAGGCACATACACAAATTTCCTTTTTGATTTATTAGTGATGTCAGTTTAAAAAAAATTTAAGGTTTTTTTGGGTATATTTATGGGTTCATGACCCAATTTTTTTCTCTATTGCTAGGGCAAAAGGGTTAAAGGATTATAATTTTTTTTTACAACAGATATTGTGTATTTAAAAGTAAACACAGGCAGGGTGAACAAAGGAACTAATAAACTATTTTCAAAGTGTTAAGAATCTGGCACACATGCCTGTCTAACATTCTTCTATTCTTCTCTTGCCTCCTAAACATTTTTCTTTAATTATGTTAATCTTAACAACAACAATGGAACATGTGTTATAGATACAAAAGGGCCTTAAACGAAAACCTCAAAAGTGTGATAAAAATTACAATAACTATGCAATTGTCTTGTAATCAATCAATATTGTTGCTAAAGTTATCACAAGTGTAAAGCATGTAACATCACTGCATGTAAACATGGTTACTTCAAACGGGAAATGTGTAAAACAGATTACTTTGTGACAGAAGGGTGGTAAGACCTAAATACTCCCCCCCCCCCCCCAGAATACAAATTTTAAATTTCTCTTATTAACACAAAATCTACAAGTTATAATGAAAATAAAAAAGCCAAAAAAATCAGGCGTTACCTCTTTGCTGAGACAGATCCTTTATGGATTGGTGATTGAAGTCATGTTTGCAAAATAAAAAAGAAAAAAACATAATAAAATTATTCACTAATTGAATCAATATTAAATTTAAAAAACATACATATACAAATATTCATAAATGATTTAATGATATGTTCATTGAATTTATACACCTACTGTCATCTGATTGGTAATTTGGCCAATGTCACTTCAGACACCTTTATTTCCCAGAGCATTTTCTAACTTTGTGGAGACTGTGCTGTGGCGTAGCCGCTAGATGCTCGCTTGTGGATCCGAAGGTCATGGATTCAGAAAGAGCAGCGATTGAATGGACTCTTATGTGGGAGACCCGGGTGCGATCCTTGGTTTGGATTTTAGATATTTAATGTTGAGCGCAAAATTAAAACCTTAACCCGCAAAGCTCATGGCAAATGTACTAACTATGCAGACTTAAATAGTTAGGCTCACGCCTTCCACCCTTGCCCCCCACCCTGGTCCTATACCAAAAAGTTGTAAACATAGGTAGTTAAGACATTTTTTCAAGGCAGTAGAGTAAGAAAACAGGAGAACAGCATAACTAGAATGTCTTTGCATTGGAACCCACAGGGGCATAGGAATAAAGGAAGGCCAAAAAACACATGGAGAAGAGAGCTGGAGAACGAGGTTAGAAAGATTGGGAGGACATGGGAAGAGCTCCATGCAATGGCGAAGGATAGAATGACTTGGCGTGAGTTGGTTGAGGGCCTATGCTCCATTGGGGGATAGAAAGGCAGAAGAAGAAGAAGAGTAGGAAAAATAAATCCATGTGGTGTAGTAATTAGTTCACTGAACTCTCAGGACAAAGGCTCTGTGATCAATCCTAGTAGTGGCAATGTAAAGAGTCTCATAAAATGTAGTTACCTTTATTCTAGGTCATGGTAGTGTTGGTAAAGAAAAAACAAATAGATTAGCTGGTTCTGCCATAGTTGCAGATGGCCAATCAATAGATCACAGACATTGTTGATGTCCTTAGAAAAAGAGAGAATGACTGTGTGATTCTGAGGGCAGCGCATCCACATAGCTGCTAAAATGTGAGAAGTGGGAGTAAAGATCAGGACAACCAGGCTAAAAAGGCATCCCAGATATCTGAGAAGTCTTGTCAACAAGTATTTTAAATGCATGACGCTGATGTAAATAAATGCTGGGGGTTTCTGAGAACCTATGGTGTGTCTGGAGTCTACTGAGGATAACCCAACTCATAAAAAGGGTACAACAGTTCTGAAGATCAAAGCAAAATAAGGAGAAAAAAAGGTCAAAGTCGAGAGGATCGACTTCATTGCACCGGGTTTTATCCCATATGGCTCGGCCTCTCTCCGCAGAATGGTTAGCCACCCGCAGAGAGGGCCGCGCAGAGCACAAACTCCGTAGCTCTGGCGACAATCCCCAGGGACCTTTGTAAAAATTGCACTTGTGAAGTGAATGGTGCAGCTGTGGAGTGAACCCACGACCTTCAGAGCGCGAGGCAAACGGCTTGACCACTTGGCCACAGAGACCCCCTATTATAAGGAGAAAGTAACACACATCTGCAGAAGCAATGAAATGGGCACCAATAATCTCAGAAAGTAATTAAATGGATACTAGAGAATCTATAAAGTAATTAAATGAGTACCAATAACCTCAGAATGTACTTAAATGGGTACTAAAGATCTACAAAAGTAATGAAATGGGTACTAAAGATATGAAAAGGTGATCAAACAAGTACCAAAGGTCTTAAAATTAATAACATGAGTACTAAAGATTTAATGATTAGAAAAGTAAAGTGCCCAACATTTACAAGGACTTTATGACCCCCCCCCCCCCTCTTTCACCCCTGCCCCTGCACCATGTAATGTTTGGCTACTAAACACATCAACCTTACCCATATTGCCAGTATGTATTCAAGCATTTGACTAAATTGTTTTAATTGTTATCAAGCACCGTATAGACATGGTTTCACAAGCTTAAATCATGCCATATTTGTGCATGTAAAAACTCTTGATATCTGAAGCGGGAGAAGAGGAAGAGAAGAGAGAAGGAGAACTCTTACCATTTGGCGGCCTCGAAGCGATTTCATTCAGGAAGTCCGACAACACTCCCAGCTCTTCACGCAGTTTGAAAGTGACCTCATCTATTTTATTTTCTCTCTTCTCTGCCTTGGTCAGCAAATACCCAAAGGCCTCAGCCACACCTTGGTCCCGCGTTGAAAACACCTGAGACAGACATAGAGAATTACTTAACTCTTGATTTCACTGATAACCCCATAACTAGCCATGTCATACGGCTCACTGATGTCCTTTCCATTTTTTTAAAAGCAGGCTCTATTTCTCTTCTATATGTGTTTTTTATTCTTCCTTTATTCCCTTGACAACGTGAGTTCAAGGACATTCTAGCTGTATTGTTTTCATGTTTTCTCAATGATTTTTCTGTCTAACGCCAACATCTTTTCCTCACCTCTTGATTCAGTTCAATTTGTTTAGTTCTCTCTATATGACACTATTTTTCATATATAAAATAATGTTTTCCCAAATTTGTTACATTTAAAATTGAGGGGGGGGGGGGGGGGGGGTAGGGGTGGGGGTCTTATACAACAAATGTGTTTAAATTATTTATTTAACTATTTTGGGTTATTAAAAAAAGGGGTCGTCTTATAAATGAAGTCGCCTTATAGGCGGAAAAAATGCTAGTTATTCATCATACCATTTAATTCCCTTTATTATGTACAGGCATGAGTTACAAAATGTATTTTATTAGTAAGTATTTTAATCACTCTCAATGCTTCAGCTATACATTACAGCTAAATAATTCAAGTCTAATGCTAATTTAAATCTCCCAGGTCAACCCAGCATAAAAACTCATCATGATGATGTAACAGACCCTTTACAGAATCTCGTTCCCATCACAGCACACCTGAAAGAAACCTGGTCCATCTCTAGTTCTTCTGCCTCATGCACTCTGCCTCTTATGTCCTGTACCCATCTTCATGCTTGTCTGACTTTGTTCCTCTTACCCAGTACCACGCATTCCACTACTTTTCTTTCCAATCCACCAAGGTGCTTGATATGGCAGAGCATTTCAGTCCTAAAACAAGGTGCTGTTTATGAGCCAATTTTCCTTGGTGTTCAGATCTTGCAGGATGTCAAAATTTCTTTTCTTCTTGATCCCCGAAATTCTAAGAATCTTTCTTTAGCATTTCAGCTTACAAACCCCTATTTTCTTCCTTAATGGGTAAAATGGGTAACAGAAAATGTTATGGGAAGTAAAGATGGCAGCTGTGATATTCACATCACCCATCAACTACCAATTGGCCTAAAAAATATAAGACTATAACCATACACCTTGTATGCATTATGAGTTATGATTTAGATTATCTTCACAGCACTCCGGACACATCCATAGGGGCTCAGATTCCCCTCTCAAAATATTCATCAGCGTTGTGAGATTAATAGTGCCAGTCCTATATTGGTTAACAAGACTTCATGTGGGTCCGGTGTGCTTCTCGTGCTTGGCTGTGCCGATTTTTACGCTCAATTCGCGTATTCTTAGCAGTGATGTGGACATATTGCTTCCAAAATCCTCAAAACGTCCTATCTCTCTAAGGGCAATGACAATGTCTGCATGATCCATGGGCCGGCCATCTTCAATAAATGCAGCACCTGCCAGTCTATCAGCTCTTTCATTATATGCTTCCAGGTGTGAACAAACCATTGTACCGTTTCTTTTTTTTTTTCTGTTTTCAAATTCTTCTTCTGTATTTGAACTCAACAGGATAGTTTGCACATGTGATTTACAGCTAGGCTGTGATATCTGCATCTCTAGGCCCAACACATTCGGCTTTAGCAAAGCCTTAATTAGTCATCTATTACAACATGCCTGTTGAGGGGCAAGGGATCTATATTCTTTTTACCTGCAACGTTATCTCAAAATGCGCCCAGGGATTTTTAATAAAATATTTTAATCATCTTCTTACCTCTTGCATTGAATTATCAGCTTTCCATTTCTTCGTGAAGTCATCTGAAAAAAAAAAATTTTCTCACGTTAATTGGAGCTGACATGGTGTAGCGGCTAGACCCCCCCCCCCGCCCCCCGCCTACGGATTGGAAGGTCATGGGTTCAGGTCCTGATGAAGCCAGACATTTTTTTTAAAGTGACCTTGGTTTCCAGGACGGCCCAGCCCTAAATGGGTACCAGGTACAGTCCTGGGAGGTAAATGCGGCTGGCATGATGTTGACCACATCACCCAATGAGGGCAGATTGGTCTATAAAATATAGGTCTAGCCCTATATGCCTAGTATTTCTGAAGGTGTGGAAAAGGGTCCTTTATGAGAATTGGTTAACTGGTTTAAAAAAAATACAAACAATAGTTTCCGAGTATATGTTGACACACAGGACATTGCAGACTCAAGAAACACATATAAATTAGGTATGAGCCAAGCAGCCCTCCGCCAGTGTCTTTGTGCTGAAGAGACCCCCAGAAAGACTGGCCTTTCCTGGAGAAGCTGTGAATAACATGTAGCCACACCCAGCAGACCTGACAACTAAGCTTTAGGGGGGAAAACGGAGAGACTTCAGGGCCACAGAGGATTAAGTGCATGACCAGAGATCCCTGAAAAAGAAAAAATGTCTGTTGTGTGTAAATATATTACACACACACACACAAAGGGTGTCTCCATGGTTAAGTAGTTAAGGCTGTTTGCCTCAGACTCTGACAGTTGTGGGTTCATTTGGCAAGCTGTGTTGTTTGGTTTATGAGTGAAATTTCGACAGAGGTCCATTGTTGGATCTATTGAGTGTGGGCATTGTGATGCTCATGACAGGAGGCTTGCCATTCTATGAAGATAAAAAGTTGAACAATATAGGATAACACTCAGTGCAATGAAGTTGATCTTTCAACATTACCCTTTGTAAGCATTAAAAAGACGATACAAATGTCCGCTATGCAGAGGAAGACTTTAAAAATGAAAGTGAAAAGCTTAAACACTACAGAATAAACAAAAATATAAGCATCATTGATTTAATAAAATGTTGAAATTAAAAGGGGAAAAATGAAGAGTAAGGAATGCCAATTTTCAACTCCAGATGAGGGAAGTAAAGTAAAAAAAAATGCAGTTAACATGATATTTTTGATTGAACAAACTTACTTTTTTCTCTCATCAACTCATCCTGAACTTTTTTCTTCATCTTCTCATTTTCCTGTGCTTGAATTTCTAAGTCTGCAAGGTCACTTTCCATTTTTTTACAAGCCTGCATATTCAAAGATAAACACAAATTTATCAGTATATATAGTTTATCTGTATACATTTTTGTGGTGGCCAGTTTCAACAGGCAAACTACCCCTTGGCCTCTGGTGAAAGCTGCCCTCCAACCTAACCATTTATTTCACTCATCAATAAATGTAAAATTATAGAACGTTAATTAAAGCACATTCACTAACAGTACCAATCAGTCAATATATTTCATGGAGTAATATGTCAGGGGGATAGGTCATTCTCAAGACACCTGGCTACTGCTCCTGTGGTAATTGTTAAAATGCGAATCAAGGCAGATTTTTTTTTTTTTTATTGGCCTGAATATCCTGGTCAACTCAGCTTGCAGTGTGTACCAGGAAATGTCTGGAAAAGTAAAGGTGGCCAGCTTAATGTTGATAGCATCAATAAAAATAAAGGTCTAGTACCATACATATGGGGAGTACTCAAAAACTTCCCATTTTCAATGCAGGGGGCTGTTTCTATTTTTATGTCATTATTTATAATTGTTATTTTAACCCAATTGAATCATGATTATTGATTATTATTAATTTCCCAATAATTTATGAATGTGAATGGCTACCCAATTATTAATAAGTTTTAACAACTTCCAAAAATGAATTTTTTTAAAACTGCACAAATTTTTGCCTGGAATGATAATCATATACTGCCAGATACACACTACAGTAACAACTGAATAAAATGAAGCAAACTAATTTTTTAGAAGTGACATATAAATTCAACCACACTCTAAAATAACTGCTTGTTTTACCAGGGCAAGTGCAGGTTCACAATCATGTCTTTCTGTTTGCACAAATCTCATCATCCGCTTCAACAATGCAAAGGAATCTACCAAATTGCTCCATTATATTCAATTGTTATTGTAGTATATACCTAATACGGCAAAACATCCCAGGCAATAAATTGTGCAAGCTATTTATGTGTCTTTGTTCACATTTACAATGGGGGACATTGCTTCAAACTTCTAGATAGTCACATGTGTGACTTCGACTTTTCCTTACTAAATTTTCTTAAAAACCACGATTCTTTAAACCTGGGTTGAAAATAACATGCATTAACAAAGATGATAACAAATCTTTCATATACCATAATGTTCTTCTTTTCTTCTTCTTAACATCCACTGGCGGTAAACCTCGATGGAAAGTTCTGGTTGTTCCTACATTTGTGGATTTTAGTCTTGTTCCAGAACTTGAGTTTGCATGCACATCCGTTTTACAGAACTAGATTATTTGTATGCAAGCAGTTGGTACCTCGCCTGTCAGGCAGACGCACTGTGAATTCAAAGGAAACACTCCTAATTAGCTTGCTTTATGACATGCTTGTTAGGGAGGCAGTTGGTTTATTCTTTTGTTTCCCCTACAATGGTGCCCTGGAATTCACACACACCTTTGTGTTCAAAGAGCTTGAGTTAAATATTTTCTTAAAAGATTTTGCACAGAATGTGAATACAAAGAAAATTAACATACAGACAATCTAGAATAGACAGGACTTCAAACTGAAAATGTATTGCTAGTACAGACCTCCTCCAGTTTATGGTTCTCCTCCAGAATGATCCTAAGCTGAGCACCAGCAAGAAAGATCTGCTCTTCAGTCTCCTTTGTGCTGGAACCATGATCTCTGATCTGGGTCATAACTTGTGCCCGGTAGTTTTTCAGGTCACTTCTTAGCATTTCCTGCTTAAAACAAGACTTGTTTGAACTCCTTCTGCTCCATAGCTTTTGTTTTTTCCAACTTTTGCTGTCACAGACAGCTATTAACATAACTAGTTCTGTCACAAACAGCAATTATCAAAACCACTTCTGTCTCAAACAGCAATTATTATAACCAATTATACCACAAACAACTATAATTATATTTACGTCACAGGCAGCTACTTTATAAAACTCAATATTTTAGCCACTTTTATCATAACAGCAAATATTATAATTTTTATGTCACCAAGGGCACGTTACTGTAACCTGTTTTGGGTATAGCCATTTAAAATCGTAATTAACACCTGCCTTGGAAAAGAAATTAAAGATGTAACAGGAAACATGGTGAACAACTTACCTGGTATGAACAAATTAAAAATGACAGCTAATCTGGGTTTTAAAAAAAAAGCTAAATATGGACTATTTCTTCCAGTTCAGTCCCAGAAGAATTTGCTCCAATAGGTGCAATGACCAGAAATGGAAAAGAATGTGAATATCTCTTCCAAAGATGCAACGTGCACTGTGCTCCATTTTAAATACCAATATCTAGTCAAATTTCTTTAGTATGAACAAAAAACAACAAAAACAACAGCCGCACAGATCACCTATGGGGCTTTGCTTCAGGTGCAAATGAGTTAAAAGTTTAAAATCAGATTCTTCCAAAGATTTGACAGCTAATAAACTAATCCAAATCTAATCATAATTTTTTATAATTACAAACCATTTCTTATAGTATTGAAAACTGGCTTCAATTTATCACAGAGATTTGTAAGACCAGGACTTTTTTCTTCTGGTGGTACTTTGTTTTAGGCATTATTTTTTTTTTCAGCACTACAGTAATGGACATTTTGTGGTGAGTACCGGCACCGTTTTTTTTTTTTGTTAACTCCTTCAGGACCACATTTTTTGGACAGCATTAATTTTGAGCGGAATTTTTTTTTACTGCAACAGGACAAAGCTAAAACCTTCCTGAATAATAAGTATTGGCTGTATCGGGACATATAATATATCAAATTAAAGATAAATGAGTGCAGAATAAATCTAAACTATTTAAGTGTCAGTATTACAACAAAATACTATTAAAATCACACAACATTCAAGGATGTTAGACACATATGAAGATTATTTACATTAAAAACATTGTGCTTGCCTTACTTTTTTACTTGTTCAACAACACTGCTATCCAATTCTAAGAATGCACATGCCTTCTCTGTTCAATGATCTATCAGCTAGTCTTTATTTGAAACAATTAATTTTAATACTTTGGATGTTATGATCATTTTTGTATGACATATCAGATTTCACAACAACAGAAATTTGGGAAATCAGATGATCGAAAAATTGATCAGATTGAAATATTTTGTTCAATTTTCATATCCTAAACTAAATTATCGCCAATAGGTTTGTCACTTAGATATCAATCATAATATCAAGACTGTTGTCACCATCTGGCAGAGATTCATCAACGACAGAGCAGTATGAACAGTTCAAGACTTTTTTCATTATCATTTAGTATAAAAAAATCACGTAAAAATTGCATCACACTAAATAATTTTTGTAAATAAAAAAATGATGCAAAAGCCTCGTGGAACATTGCAAACAAAAGGACTTCCTGTTGTTAATATTAATTTTTCAAAAACTTGTTCATGAAAGTTCATTTTCCCCACAAACGGAACCAAATTAGAGTGTCTCTATGATACGCCAGTATACTGGCCACTAGTCCAATAAGGATAAATTCATACGCCAGTTTACTGGCGAACAGTCTTCAAAGAGTTAAAGATATTTTAAGGTAAGTAAGAGTATTTTTTTTGTCTAGAAAAAAGGCCTGTGTGTGACCAATCATAAACTCTGGATGAAATTATGGACAATCGGAATATATGTGAGAAATTATTTGGAGGCTACAAAGAAGTGGTTCTAAACAATATTTTAAGAAAGCTTTGGATAGATTTTTTAAAAAGTTAAGAAAATACATTGAAAGACCCAATTCACAAGAAAAGAACTAGTTATATTTATTAGAAATAGATTATCTACATTCAATGGGTGTGTTATGAGAAGGCTAACACTGGATTTCTATATGAAGCAAAAAAGCACCACTGAAAGAAAAAGACATAATAGAAGACCTAAAGAGAAGATGATAGACAGCTTGACATGATGGCATGAAAAAGCATCTATACAAGAAATTAGAAAACATGATATGAACTCCTTGCAGACTGTCAAGCTCACTGTAGACCACCCAAAAGCCTGTCAGTCACTTTTAACTCATTTGACATATATTTTCATGCTGAAGGAGTTTCTAGCTACCGATGTGCCAGTCCTGACCTATGGGTGTGAGCCATGGGCAATGACAACAGCTCACAGATACCAGCTTCAGGCCTTAGAAATGAGATATCTGAGAAAGGTGGTCCAAGTAACAAGAAGAGACAAAGTTTGCAACCAGACAATAGGAACAGCCACCCCCTAAGGTCTTGAAACGCAGTCCCTACAAACTCAAATGGATCAGTCACAGTTATGATGGTTTGTTCATGTATGCAGGATGGGAGAAAATCTGCCACCAGGGTGGGCATGGGAAGCTAAAAACCAGGAAACATGACCTCCAGGACGACCCAGGGTCCGCTGGGAAGACAAGATTTGACAGTCCCTAACTGACAGAGGACTGGAATGGAACAAAGCCAGAAAGAAAACTGCTGACAGAGACATCTGGCAATCTCTGGCAAACCTCTACACACCAAGGTAGAAGAGGAGCGACTAAGTAAGTAAGTAAGGAGTATCTAGTATTCTGTATCCACCTTTGTGCGAGTTGATGTCTGCTTCTTATTCCAACAATTACACCTCTAACTACAGTTCTCCATTGTGAAATGGTGCAGTTATTTTCCTTGTGCAGATTGGTTTTCAGACTGTCATTTAGTTAATGAGAACAGTTTTTATAGAAATCTGTGAGGACTGCTGCTTAAAGTTAACTTTGAACTCTTATCAAGGAACCAATGTCCTTGAAGAGATAGCAAGTCATATGAAATAAAACTTGATGCAATCAAACTTATCCTTTCACATTCAAACTATTATTACATTTGTATATTACATTTGAAAAATGTATATAAGATGAGACAGAAGACTTATCAATCAAGATGGCCAAATGGACTATAAGAAGAAGTAGAATTTAAAACATACCAGAGACTTTAAAAAAAAGTTGTTCATAAAATTATAATAAATTTCTTTGTTCTATATTATGATATCACAATCAACATCACTGTTTATCAGACATTCCCATGTGCAAACAGCCCTCTGATGCAGCAGCCATCTCAAGGTGTCTCTGCTGACTGTTCCTATGAGAGGCTGGTTACAATGTAACCTGTCTTGACCTCAAAGATGGCACTAATGTGCTTCAACAAGCTTCACTCTGAGTTCATGCCACTGTGTTAATGTCAGAGATTAATTACTAGTCGGTCTACTTTCAGTCTACATTCATTACTTAGCCAGTCTAGTCTGTATGGCACTGATAATATCTGCTCCGTCCATGCATCTTTCCCAGCTAGTCCTCCTTGTTGATTCCCACTGTTTTATATGTTGCAGCATGAGCTCAACACTGAAATACTCTATTTTATCTGATTCTTTTTAAAATAAAATGGTATACCTGTGGTATCTTCAGATCATCTTTCTCTTTCTTTGCTTTCTTTATTGCATCCTCTAGACTTGTCTTTCTGTTTTTTAGAGCTGAAATAGTTATTTATAAACACTCAACATATTACAATCATTGCAACCTGCCAACACTGATATTTCACTATAAAGTTATTTAACTCTTTCAGTCCCAGGGGGTTTAGCATCAAAGACCCACGGGGTAGTAAAGAGAGATGTAAAATTGGCACATCTTGTATTCACAGGAATCCTAAGTAGGAACCTATGAACTTCTTGGGACTAAAAGAGCTTACTTTTCCAGTCTTCTTCTGTGTTTACCTTAAAAGGGCAGTTGCCATGTTGTGTTGTGGTTCACAGCTAGGCTTTCTTCTTCTTCTTCTTTTTCTGCTTCATGTTCACTGGCTGTAACCTCCTGTGAAAAGTTTCTGGTTGTTCGCCCACCTCTGGACTTTATCTTCTTCCCAGCCTGAGTGTTGTGTGCACAGCAGACTGTTGGTTCCTTGTCTCTCTGGCAGATGCACTCCGACTTCAAAAGAAGCCGCCCAATTAGCTGACTCTTACAAAATGCTCTCCAAGGGAGAGGCAGTGGGTGTGTTCGTGTTTTCCCCACAATGGGGCTCTGCAACACACGGTAGAGAGATAGGCTTTGATATCCATGCCCTTCGACCCAATCCATCCCATTTCAACAAACTCTGAATTAGTCACCTTGTACAACATGCTAGTTAGGCAAAAAGAGTCTTGTCTTGTTTCCCCTCCCTAATCAGGGCTTTGGAACCCATACTGGGACAATGTGGCTGTACTTTAATTATGAGCTACTCCTGTTATTTTTGTTTGTGTGTGCCATCTCCACAAATCAGGTTGGCTACAATGTACCCACTGCTGTTTTTTGGAAATATTATGTGATAAAGTCCCAGTCTCTTCCATGGTGTGATTCTCATTCCACTATCTAAAAACAATTAAAGCATTTTTTTTTTAAAAATAAGCCTCCCACCACCGGAATCAAATAAAACCTAGTATTCAAGGATTATGAAATTAAATCCTTTTATTTTGAAAAACACCTTTTACCCCAACTTTCCAGGACAAATCCCTACATTATCTATGTTATATAGTTTCCATTCTCCTTTAATTATGAATTATTCCAATTAAAAATTTTGTAATTCAATTCTGCCAGAGAGAGCCATGCTGAAGAAATACAATAAACACAAAGCCAGGGGAAGACCACGCAAATATGGAGCGACATCATCAGCAGAAACCTAACAGAAATGAACACCAACTTGTACACTGCATTAGAAAAAGCCCACAAGCGATACTTACATCTCCCCCCAACACCTCGTTGAGGTAAACAGTGGAAGTGAAGAAGAAGAAGTAATTCATAAACTAATAAAATCAACTTACCAACAATCGATTTCTTAACACTGTCAAATTCTTCCGTTCTAAGTGAGAAAAACTGTTTCAAGTCCTCAAACTCTGGAGTTTTCTCAGACATTATCTTCCGTTTCTCCTGGATCTCTTTCTCCATGTTTACAATCTCATCCTGGTAATGACACATGAGAAAACAAACTACTTTATGTAAAGATGCTTTGTTATTATGTAGGTCTATAACTAGTCCATTACATGTGTAAGAAGAAACTTACAGATGCGTCTTTTTCTTCTGCAATTGACCTTAAAAGGGTGGCTGCCATGTAGTGTTGTGGTTTACAGCTAGGCTGAAGTGATATGTCTTTATACATTCTAGGCTATGACATAAAAGGTTGGGATGGCTGGTTTCAATTCCTTAATGTCTTTCCTAATGAATGTGGGTGTATGTATTCTTGTGAATGTAAATGTGTGGTTGTGTGCATATGTTGGTGTCTGTACATGCGATTGTATATGTATGTATGCATGGATGCATGTATAGGTGTGTATGTATGGAATGTGTGTGTGCATGTAACATCCATAAATGTATGTGTGTGTGTTTTCTGTTTGTGCATTTATGTCTATGTATGTGTATGTGTTTTATGTTTGTTTATGTATGTAGATGCGTGTGTGTATGTATTACATATGTCTGTATATGAGTGTGCATGTATGAGAATGTAGGAGTATGTCTACGTGTATATGAGTGTTTATGATTGTGTACACATGATGTGTGTATGCATTATTCTATAATTTATGTTTCTTTATTATATCCATAACACGCATTATTGATAACAGGCATTGGTACTCTGAAAAATGAGTGCTTAAAAAGGCCGAATGTCAGACAGGCCTGTGTGCCCAATTTGTAACCCTTTGAAAATAAAGTTTGTTCGTTCCTTCCTTCCCATCTTTATGAAGCTGGGTCAACCTCAGAGTCGTACTGGTTGACAAAATCCTGCCACTTCTGGCGATTGAATCCAGACCAATGTCCCAGCATGCAAGCACACAAACAGTATGCCATCACGGCTATCGTAGATGATCCATTACCATCATCGTTGATCACCCTGCTGTGCCATTATATGTCACACAGTGGCCAGAGTCTATTCCTCCATTCCGATAGCTATAGCATGCATCTTCCATGTGGCGACATACGGATGTGAGTCGTGGACTATCTCCCAGTCTTTAAGGAAGTAAATATGGCTTCTGAACTTACATGCTAAAGAAAGATTTTCAGAATACCATGGACAAGTAAGAAAAGATATACTGGCATTCTAAAAGATCTGGACATCAAGGAAGATTGGCTAACAAACAACATCTTGTCCTGGAAGCTGATATATTTTGGCCATACCAAGTACCACAGCAGATTGGGGGGAAAAAAAATTGCAAAACGCATGGGGCAGGGTGTAGGGGCTGACCACTGTGAAGATGGGCACAGGATATAAGTGACTTCTTGGATACGAAAGTGAATGAAGCAGGACAGCTGGCGAGAGACCGAGTCTCTTTCATGCAGACAGTGATGAGAGCGACGACCTGCAAAGGACTTGCTACATGATGATGATCATCATGGATGGAATCTAATTCAGCCCCTACTGCATCTCACATCATTCACTGCAGAGCTTCTGTTGGACTCCTCATTTTGTCAATCCATTTGTTTTCCACTTTAGTGACAGCCCCCTCACAAGGTACTAGAGCACCGCTCCAAGCCACTAGTTCTGGGACAATTAAGGTTTCCTAGCCAACATAACTGGCACAATAAAACAAGACCACAGTTATAATCAATACTGCTCAAAGTAGGTTGAACGTAGTCGATTTTTTTTTTTTTTAACAAATTGATGGATGGATGTTTGGTGATTCTAGAAATTATATAAAACAGAACAAAAAGTATATCAGCAAGCTTCAAAATATAATGAACTAAGCAAAACATGAACGTTGCAGCACATACATCAATAAAACAATACCACACAAATACACAAAATTTCTTAGCTTAGTATCTTGAAGTGACCTGGTCAATGTCAATGACTAGACATGTGGGACAGGATAATAAATGCCTTTGGGGGAATTCCAGGGGCCGTAACTGGAGGGTTTTAGCTCAAACAGTGTGAGCAGTTCAATCTCCTAGGATTTTAGATGAAACTGTGTTGGCAGTTCAGTCCACTAGGTGATAAAGTGCCCAAAGTGAAAATAAAGCGATTTTCCAGAGACTTGCGGACTCAGTCACTGAAGTGGCTAGATTTAATGGCTGTCACCTCCATGTCAAGGACACCTTGGTGATCCTGGGAACTGAAGTGCAACAGTACTGGTCTCAGGGCAGCGTTCTAATGTTGCCTAAACATGTCAGCCAGTTGCAGACCCGATCCACTGACATCTCTTTCAGTTGATGACGTCTTCTCAGGATGTGCCCAGTAAAGCCCCATGTTCTTTGTCTTATAACTGCTGATACCAGTGGACCATAGACGAATACATGAGTGTAAAGCTTACCTCTAGCTTATCCACTTTGCTCTGCATTGAATCAGACTCAGTCTCATATTCCAGTTCAGCATACTTCAGCTTGCTCTGCAAGGCCTGAATTTCTGTCTCAGCTTGGCTTATTTCCTTCTGTAGCTGTATTCCCTAATATAGAAGACATAAAGTGTTTCTAATAATCATCATAAGAATAATCATAATATACCTAATGTACTTTAGTGACTAACACATGAGAGTGACAATATAACTGGATTGTGGCAATCCTCAGATGTGCCAGATGTATAATGTAACTGAATATGTGTAGCTGTCTCTAACACAGCATAATGATAATTTAACTGAATTGTTGTAGCTGCCTAATATAGCAGATTCTATAACTGGACTGTTAAATGTCTAACACAGCAGAATGATAATATAACTGGGCTGTTGTAACTATCTAACATAGCAGAATGATAATATAACTGGACTGTTGTAACTATCTAACACAGCAGAATGATAATATAACTGGACTGTTGTAACTATCTAACATAGCAGAATGATAATATAACTGGACTGTTGTAACTATCTAATACAGCAGAATGATAATATAACTGGACTGTTGTAACTATCTAACACAACAGAATGATAATATAACTGGACTGTTGTAACTATCTAACACAGCAGAATGATAATATAACTGGACTGTTGTAACTATCTAACACAGCAGAATGATAATATAACTGGACTGTTGTAACTATCTAACACAGCAGAATGATAACATAACTGGACTGTTGTAGCTGTCTAACACATTAGAATTAAAATATAGCTGGATTGTTGAACACATTAGAATCAAAATATAACTTGATTGTTGTAGCTGTCCAACACAATAGAATGATAATATAACTGGACTGTCACAGCTGTCTGCTGCAGTAAAATGATAATATAACAAGTTAGCGTTGAAACACATCTGGACTGTTGTAACTGTCTAACCCATTACATTGATAATATAACTGGATAGTTGTGTCTGTTTAATACGATAGGCTGTCTAGCCAATCAAAATGATAATATAACAAACCAGTAAATGAGATTATCAATAGCTGTGTCCTTTGCAGATCAAAATGACATTTTTACATGAACACCAGTCAACTCAAATTGGACTACTGCTTACTTCATAACCACAGGGCACGCTACTTTACCTGTTGTATGTGACTGAACTGTTTCAGGCTTTTGCTCCCCCTGGATTCTCTTTTGAATAGTGTCTTTTTCAGTCATTTTTTTATTGCTACTTGTTATCCATACGCACACTGTCTAACTCATTCAGGCTCAGTCCTTGGAAGCAGCAGCCATCTCAGTATTTCCATGCTCAAAATGCCCAGCCGGTAAACCACAATACAATGTGCCAATAGCCCTTTTCAGGGTAACTGCAGAAAAATGAGAATTTAAAAAAGCAAATGTGGTCTCATACCAGATTTTGCAACTGGGGGGAGAAAAGCTAGGACTTCACACATTTTAGGTCACAATATGTGAGGTGGGTGGCTAGTTCCCTCTTCACTGAATTTCCTTCCTGACTATTCCCCCAGAAAATGCTGGAAATTATTTGACACTAATTTTTTATTAAGCTAAGTCAAATTCCTAGAGCAACTTTCAGTGTCAAGTTTTGAAGAGGTGTTTAGTGTGAGGCTTGGTGTGTGCTATATAGATGCTGATATTTATAGCTCTTGATATTCCATCAATCCATCGCTTGTGTAGTCAACCTCTAGTTCTGCTTCCATTGTGTCTAAGTGACAATGCTCTTTGCGGTGTACTATCTTGTCTTAGTCTTGACACATGTCCAAACCATTTGATTTGTTGTCTCTTGATGTAGTTTAGCACTGGTTGCTTCCAAATTTATTTCCTGCTATGGTCATTTCTTATCCTGCCTCTTTTTGTTACATTTGGGATTCATCGAAGACATTTCCAATTTTTTTACCTTTTATTTTTATTTTTCATTTTGATGCTAATGCACTTTTAAGTGCACAATTGTCAGGAAAAAATCCAGTCACTTGTGGGCACTGAGCCTAGAACACAGTTTCAGCAGGCAAGTGCACTGATTATTATGCCACTATGGCTTGTATTCAGTATCTGAGACATTATGCCACTATGGCTTGTATTCAGTATCTGAGACATTATGCCACTATGTCTTGTATTCAGTATCTGAGACATTATGCCACTATGGCTTGTATTCAGTATCTGAGACATTATGCCACTATGGCTTGTATTCAGTATCTGAGACATTATGCCACTATGCCACTATGGCTTGTATTCAGTATCTGAGACACCACTATGGCTTGTATTCAGCCATTATGCTATGGCTTGTATTCAGTATCTGAGACATTATGCCACTATGGCTTGTATTCAGTATCTGAGACATTATGCCACTATGGCTTGTATTCAGTATCTGAGACATTATGCCACTATGGCTTGTATTCAGTATCTGAGACATTATGCCACTATGGCTTGTATTCAGTATCTGAGACATTATGCCACTATGGCTTGCAGTATCTGACTATGCCACTATGGCTTGTATTCAGTATCTGAGACATTATGCCACTATGGCTTGTATTCAGTATCTGAGACATCATGCCACTATGGCTTGTATTCAGTATCTGAGACATCATGCCACTATGGCTTGTATTCAGTATCTGAGACATCATGCCACTATGTCTTGTATTCAGTATCTGAGACATCATGCCACTATGGCTTGTATTCAGTATCTGAGACATTATGCCACTATGGCTTGTATTCAGTATCTGAGACATCATGCCACTATGTCTTGTATTCAGTATCTGAGACATTATGCCACTATGGCTTGTATTCAGTATCTGAGACATTATGCCACTATGGCTTGTATTCAGTATCTGAGACATCATGCCACTATGGCTTGTATTCAGTATCTGAGACATCATGCCACTATGGCTTGTATTCAGTATCTGAGACATCATGCCACTATGGCTTGTATTCAGTATCTGAGACATTATGCCACTATGGCTTGTATTCAGTATCTGAGACATTATGCCACTATGGCTTGTATTCAGTATCTGAGACATTATGCCACTATGGCTTGTATTCAGTATCTGAGACATTATGCCACTATGGCTTGTATTCAGTATCTGAGACATTATGCCACTATGGCTTGTATTCAGTATCTGAGACATCATGCCACTACTATGTATTCAGTATCTGAGACATGTATGGCTTGTATTCAGTATCTGAGACATTATGCCACTATGGCTTGTATTCAGTATCTGAGACATTATGCCACTATGGCTTGTATTCAGTATCTGAGACATCATGCCACTATGGCTTGTATTCAGTATCTGAGACATTATGCCACTATGGCTTGTATTCAGTATCTGAGACATCATGCCACTATGGCTTGTATTCAGTATCTGAGACATCATGCCACTATGGCTTGTATTCAGTATCTGAGACATTATGCCACTATGGCTTGTATTCAGTATCTGAGACATTATGCCACTATGGCTTGTATTCAGTATCTGAGACATTATGCAACTTGTATTCAGTATCTGAGACATTATGCCACTATGGCTTGTATTCAGTATCTGAGACATCATGCCACTATGGCTTGTATTCAGCTGAGACATCTGCCACTATGGCTTGTATTCAGTATCTGAGACATTATGCCACTATGGCTTGTATTCAGTATCTGAGACATCATGCCACTATGGCTTGTATTCAGTATCTGAGACATCATGCCACTATGGCTTGTATTCAGTATCTGAGACATCATGCCACTATGGCTTGTATTCAGTATCTGAGACATCATGCCACTATGGCTTTATTCAGTGAGATCATGCCACTATGGCTTGTATTCAGTATCTGAGACATCATGCCACTATGGCTTGTATTCAGTATCTGAGACATCATGCCACTATGGCTTGTATTCAGTATCTGAGACATCATGCCACTATGGCTTGTATTCAGTATCTGAGACATCATGCCACTATGGCTTGTATTCAGTATCTGAGACATCCATGCCACTATGGCTTGTATTCAGTATCTGAGACATCATGCCACTATGGCTTGTATTCAGTATCTGACATCATGCCACTATGGCTTGTATTCATAATTCATGCCACTATGGCTTGTATTCAGTGCAACTATGTTGTATTCAGTATTTCTGAGTAATCACATCATTTATTGACCACTATGGTTCTTTCCAATTCAGTGTCATCATTTTGACAGAACTCTCAAGTAATAAGTATTGTCTGAAACCATTCTTAAGCAATAAGTACTGTTTTGTAAACCCGTCTCAAGCAATAAGTATAAAAAATAAATAAATCTTAAACTCTCTCAATACCAGAAGAAGGTTACGCAGGAGATGCCAATTGGAGGCTTCTGCCAAAGCCTTCAATGAGTGGCATAATAAAAAGACGAGAAATTCTAGAAACCAGACACAACATGGAGGAATCCTGTCTATGAATGACTTTTGGAAATATTAAGTGTTAAGGCGCCAATCTCTTCCACGGTTCGACTCTCTACCACTATTCTCTTCTTCTTCTTCTTTGTTCACCGGCTGTAAGCTCCGGCAGAAAGTCCTGGTTGTTTGTCCATATGGACTCTGGTTTTGTGCCAGGGCCCGAGTTTTGTGCATGCATCCATTTTACTGCCTTATTTGTGTGCAGTTGGTTGTTCCTTTCCGCTCAATATACTCCAGCTTTGAAGGAAGCCCCCAATTAGTCAACTACTATGACATGCTTGTTGGGGAGGCAGTGGGTCTATTCTTGTTTTCCCCCAAAATGGGAGCCCCCAAAACCCACAAGAGGACTTGAACTGTCCAAAAGCCATTGTTTTGAGTGTTGAACTAAGAACTGGCATCACAGCACTCTGGAAATTCCCATAAACACTCCATCTTCATCTTCAGCAGCCAGCGAAGAGTTCCAATTCTGCTGGTGCCAGCAGCAGTTTGAATAAATGCCCATCTTGCATTTCCTCTGAGCGTAGCATCGGCCAGATCCACTGGTCACTCCTGCTGTACAGTTCTCAGCAGACTATAATAATGTATTCATGCCCCTGCATTGTTTATCCAAAATGTCAAGAACTAAACTTGAGAAACTGACACTTACACATTAACACCGTTGGCCCAGGGGTTGTTAATCCACACTAAAGCAAATTGTTAAAACTGACCTGGGCTCCCAAGTTTGTGTGATGCTCTTGGCAGACTGTTAGTGGTTCTGTGGAGAGAGACTGAGCCATATGGGATAAAACCCTGTGCAATTCAGTCGATCCTCTCGACTTTAGCCTTTAAACCTTTAACCATGAAGGCATAGGCGCTGGGGGAAAAAGGTGTTTGTCATTTCCACAACAGAGCCTCTGCAGTGTATCCACTGCTGTCTGTAGGTATATTTTTCCATGTATAAGAGGTTTCCACGTATAAGACTCCCCATGTATAAGACACCCCCCCCCCCCTTTTCCACGTATAAGATGATGCCTAATATTTGTAAGCCTAAAATTAGGAAATAAGTATTTTAAACACATTCATTCGTAAAAGACGACCCCCCCTCCCCCACACCCACTTTCAATTTAAAAAGTCCCCCGTGTGGGTTCCGGGGCCCCATTGTGGGGAAAACAAGAATAGACCCACTGCCTCCCCAAAAGCAAGAGTCAACTAATTGGGGACCTTCCATTGAAGTCGAAAGTGCATCTGTCGGAGAGGCAAGGAACCAACAGTCTGTATTCAAGAGATGAGATATGTAAAACTGATGCACACGCAACACTCAGGTTCTGGAGCAGGACTGCAGTTCAGTAGTGGACGAGCAACCAGAACCTTCCGCCAGAGTGTACAGCTGGTGAACGCGAAAAAGAAGAAGAAGAATTAAAAAAGTATCAGAAAGCATATCATATTATACCCACAAAAACACTGTACATTATGTGGTAAGGCCCCGGTCTCTTACACGGTGCGAGTCTCTGGAAGTCACACTGAAAACTTTAACACTGTATGAAAAAATTACATCAAACATGAGATTTTACCCATGGCTTCTAAGAGTTAAATCATCTCCTTCTTTTTATCTTTCTATTTCTATTGCATGCTTTATGTCAAGTTTGAGTCTGTTAATCTCTCTGTCTGGGAGTCATTCTCTCTCCCTATTTTTATCTGTCTCTAGTTCTCATGCTCTCTTTCACACTCCCTGTGTCATTCATACTTTCTCCTCTTCCCTTCTCTCTGCATCTGTCTGCCTAACAGTCATTTGCTCTCACTATATTTTTCTTTTTATCCTTCTATTATGATCTCATTCACTCTATTTCTGACTCTATCTCTCTTTGCCTGCCTGCCTGCCTGCCTGCCTGCCTGCCTGCCTGCCTGCCTGCCTGCCTGCCTGCCTGCCTGCCTGCCTGCCTGCCTGCCTGCCTGCCTGCCTGCCTGCCTGCCTGCCTGCCTGCCTGCCTGCCTGCCTGCCTGCCTGCCTGCCTGCCTGCCTGCCTGCCTGCCTGCCTGCCTGCCTGCCTGCCTGCCTGCCTGCCTGCCTGCCTGCCTGCCTGCCTGCCTGCCTATCTATCTATCTATCTATCTATCTATCTATCTATCTATCTATCTATCTATCTATCTATCTATCTATCTATCTATCTATCTATCTATCTATCTATCTATCTATCTATCTATCTATCTATCTATCTATCTATCTATCTATCTATCTATCTATCTATCTATCTATCTATCTCTGTATATGTCAGACAATTATCTTTTGAAACTATTAATGACAAAATAAGGTTACAGCTGTACTATCCAAGGAAACATGAAAGTGTAAATGCTCAATGAAAGACAATACAGAACAAACCTCTGACTGGTTTCTACAGCCAGCTGTTCACTGAGCTCCTCAATTTGTCTGCTGAGTTTGGTGACAACAGCTCTGAAATTGAAAGAATACAGGCATCAGCTAGGGGATGGCAAACATTCATCTTGATCAATGGAACACCTTAGAAAATAGACATGCATATACATGAACTAGTCATGAACACTTACAATAACGATACTACAATCAAACAAATATCTAGGAAGCATATTTATGGAGGATGGCAGATAGAAGCAGGAGTTCAGAAGGCAAATGCTGTCACCTAACAGTTAGCCCCACTGCTTAGCCACCCAAATGTCTTCCTTCCAGCAAAACAGCAAATGATTAATAGCATCTTTGTCCCTGTTTTGTGTTATCAGGGCACTAGAACATAAAATTTCTATAAGTGAAATGCGTTGTCTCCACAAGGTCACTAACAACACAAGAAGAGACAGGGTTACGAATACCAGCATTAGAGAGAAAGTTGGAATAAAACCATGACTGGATTATATTGACAGACAAAGAATACAATGGTTTGGCCATCTAATGATAATGCAGCCAGACCAAACTGCATATGAGACTTTTTACAGCAGAATATCTGGGAAGAAGGCGAAGGGAAGACCAAAAAAGAGATGGATAAATAGTGTAGCTGAAACCTGCCTAAAGAGGAACAGATCCGTCACCCAAGCCACCCGAGATGCGCAAGACAAATACAGAAAACCGCGATACTGGGCTACAACCTGGTATCAGTGAGAAGACAAAAGAAGAAGAAGAAAAGAATAAGCCCACTGCCTCCCTAAATAGGATATAGTAGGAGGTGAAGAATTAGAGGTATTTCTTTCTAAGTCTGGGTGCATCTGTCTGAGAGGTAACGAACCAAAAGTGTGCGTGCAAATAAGCCAGATCTGTAATATGGTTGTGCCAATAAACACAGGTTCTAAATCAAGACCAAAGTCCAGGAGTTGCCGAACGACTAGAACTTCCCTCAGAGTTTACAGCCGGTGAATGCTAAGAAAAGAAGAAGAAAACAAATCCAAAAACACACACACACACAAATTCTTAACCACTTTGCTATAAAGAGCCTGATAAAAAAAATGCAACAGCATTTTCTTGCATTAAAAAAATAATCATTTAAGCAAAAAATAATTTTCTTGCAATATAAACATTTCAATTAAGCAAAAAAAAACAAAAAAAAAAAATTTCATGCATTTAAAAAAAAATATTTAAATAAGCAACAAACATTTTCTTGCAATACTCACTTATGAGACTCTGCTAACATTTTTGACTCCTGTGTCAATTTTGTGTTTTCATTAATCAAGCAACCTATTTCTTCAGCCTCGGATGCATATTTCTGTTTAACTGATTGCAGCCTGAAGAATGACAAGATTATTATATTTTAATTTTGTATTTGTTAATGAATCATCACAATCATCATCATCATTACCATCATCACCATCATTATCACTGTCTTGTTATTTCATTATAAGTCACACAGAGCTCGCAGTCTATTCATTTATTCTGAGCAATCATGCTAATATAGAGCTTTGGGAGAGAACTAAGCAAGCTCCAGTGGACCAAGAGGTGAGGAAAAGATGCTGGCATTGGATAGGACACACAATGAGAAAACCAGAGACCAGAATAACTAGAATGTCTTTGCATTGGAATCCACAGGGGCATAGGAATAAAGGAAGGCCAAAAAACACATGGAGAAGAGAGCTGGAGAATGAAGTTAGAAAGATAGGGAGGACGTGGGGAGAACTCCATGTAATGGCGAAGGATAGAATGACTTGGTGTGAGTTGGTTGAGGGCCTCTGCTCCATTTGGGGGGATGGAAAGGCAGAAGAAGAAGAATCATGCTAATATCATGGACGGAATCCACTGCAGCATGTTTGCCTTCTCTCATCAACATTCATCTTCGGGTTTTTTTTGGACGTCCTCGTTTCCTCAATCTCTTTATTTCCCATTTTAGTGCCTGTCTGGTGATATGGCTTGGTACTAGTATCACTGTTTTTAATCTAACATTTCTGAGATACGGCCCTTACCATTCACAGCTTTTGCTAGCTAGTATTTATTTCCAGAGGTCACACACGTGTCAGAGATTCAACTGGCAAGACAGATATGTGATTCCTTTAAGAGACACATCAATTAAATGTTGCTGTGTATTCTTGTTCATATTTGTGGTAGTGATCATGTAGTGTGCTGATGAAGGCTCTTTAGCCGTAGTGTTCATCTGTCATTTGTATTTGTGATAATGTGAAGCTGACTGGTTCTATTTTTTGTTTAACTGATACCTGTTCATAATACTTTGGTACAGAGTCAGAAGAAATATCTCAGCCTTCACCTTATTATGATAAATGGCACACCTTTTCAGGACTTAAGACATCACTGCATTGGATTTAAGAGTTAAAACTCATGGTCTTCCAGAAGATATAAGTATCCAATTTATAAACTCGGTCTATGTAACGTGATGTCTATTATACGAATATGGTATGTGTAACTTCATATATATTGTACAAATATACTGTAATCTCAGTATTTTGAAATCTAAAGCACATAGTCCCTGCATCTATTGTACTTCCCATGTGGGGAGAAGAACAGAAACCATTGCCCTCTAACAAGCAGGCCGTAAAAGGTGACAAATCAGGGTTTGCTGAAATCAGATGTATTGGGCTGAAAGGTGCAGATATCGCAGTCTAGCTGTAAACCACAACATAAAGTACCAACTGCTCTTTTAATGGCAGATGTAGAAGAAGATAAAGGAGCATTCTGTTGTACAAACATGATCTGTGCAACTCTAATGTACAAACATGGTTTGTCTAATTTCAAACATTTTGTACAGTCTCTGTATTTTGTTTTAATTACAAACATGGTCTCTATGTAACTTTCAAAATACTGACCTCTAACCTGACTTCAGTAACTTCAAGTTTGTTGTACACTTACAGTATGAACAGCTTCAAGTCTGTTGTACACTTACAGTGTGAACAGCTTCAAGTCTGTTGTATACTTACAGTGTGAACAGCTTCAAGTTTGTTGTACACTTACAGTGTGAGCAGCTTCAAGTCTGTTGTATACTTACAGTGTGAACAGCTTCAAGTTTGTTGTACACTTACAGTGTGAGCAGCTTCAAGTCTGTTGTACACTTACAGTATGAACAGCTTCAAGTCTGTTGTACACTTACAGTGTGAGCAGCTTCAAGTCTGTTGTACACTTACAGTGTGAACAGCTTTAAGTCTGTTGTATAAACATAACAGATGTCACTGCAGATTTACTGAACTGAACTTAGTCTCTTGAGGATAATGTCATAGATATATAAAAGTTAACAATACTTACTGTTCATCCAGTTCTTTAACAAAAACATGGTCAGTTTCTTTAACTTTTTCCTTGTCTTTAAGATCTACAGAATATATAAAACATCGCAACAAGTGCAGATAAATGTCATATAAAATCAACCAATTAGTAAAAAAACATGAAAACATTCTCATTTGAAAATATATTCCCTAGTTATAATATCCATTTGACAGGTCTGTCCTGATACTAACCGTCATAAGAGAGTCATGCTGGGCAAATATAATTAACATTTAGCAAGGAGAAGACCACAATAAGAATGAACGATGGCATCGAGAACAACGGTAGAGAAATGAAGACCAATTTATACAATGCATTAGAAACAGCACACGAGAGATCCTTGCATCCCTCCCCACCTCCCAACACTCTGCTTTGGGGGAAAATAAACAAAATGAACACTGAACTCCAAAAGCCACTGAATCATGCATGCAGTTGTTATGATAGATTTTTTTTTTAAATATCAAAGAAATTAGGTTATTGTCTGTATCTATGCAAATGGCTGTACAAATATGAACATGCTGTAGTCCACACAGACTCTTTGGTAGCACTGTGTCAAAAACAAAAGTTGCGAATCCTATATGTGACGGTGCAGAACCAATGTAGCATTTTTACGTTCAGTAGTTGACTAGTGCCAACTGAATGACCGGTTCTCAATGCCACTGTCGAAACCAAGTTTTGGCGGTCTGCTACCAAATTGCCTGCAGCTGGTTTCGAACTTGGCACCTTGAAGTTATAAAGTTCATTCGCAACACCCAAGTCTAGAGACCAACTTTGTATCTAAGCAACAGACAGTACAGCATTATTTTAGGTAGCATTGTGCAAAAGATAATCCTTTAATTATATATAGCCATAGAGATGTATGTTGATATTGCTTCACATATATTAGTTTGCATGATGAGTTGGGGTGATCAGTTCCCTTTCTCAGCGACTTCCTTGCCAGTGAGATTTCTGGTTCCTATTTTGCGAGGATTCACCAATCTCTGAGACATGCCGGTGCCGAGATTTAGAATACCTGCCTTACACACTGTAAATCATAGATTTATCACAATAACGTTACTCCCTTTTTGTGTAAAATAAAATAAGTAATGCATGTAGCAGTTATTTTACTATAATTTCACTACATACAATACAAAAATTATATCTACAATTTCACAATAATCATTATTGCAATGTGTGTGCACACACATGCATTTATGCATATTATATGTGTGTCAAGCGCCACAACGGATTGGAAAAAATTATAGCAGAAGGCATGGTACTAGGAAGGAGGGGCAGGGGCCGACCGACACGAAAATGGGCACAGGATATAGGTGACTCCTTGAATGTGAAAGTGCATGAGGGGGAAGAACTGGCGAGAGACCGAGTTTCTTTCAGACAGACTATGATGAGAGCGACGTTCTGCAAAGCACCTGCTACATGATGATGATACGTGTGTCTGTGTGTGAGTGTGTGTGTGTGGGCAAGGGGGGGGGGGGGGGAGTTTGCTTAATTTGTGTGTCTGTGTGTTTCTCATGGCATGGTTGTATGTCCAATTATCTGTCCATGTAGGTTTTACCTAAAGGTATCCATATGCATATGTATGTGTGCGTATGTGTGTAAGTTCATATGCATGTGACACACACACATACAAAATAGTAACGTTCATACCAATATGAAGCTCAGCTTTCCTCTGATCAAACATAACACTTGTTACTGACTCTTTTGCGATGTCGTCTTCAAACTGCAACATTTAAATTATTTTCTGTGTTCAGAAAACTCACTGTCAATTTTAAAAAAGTAAAGTCGGGAGATGTGAACCAGGGTCAATGCACACGGTTATAAACCATAAGTGCTCTGCCACCAGTACAAACAGCTGGTAAGAAACTGTCCGCCTGTGTCGCCGTCTGCAGGCAACTCTGTAGCTACAGCGACGTTCCTCCATTTACCCCAGAGTGTTAACTCTGGTACCCATTACCTTGAGGCTGGATGAACCACGGGAACCGCCCGGTTTCAAACACTAGCAATGGGCTGCAGCTAGTCGCAGCTGGATTTGAAAGCAAGTCTCCTGTCGACTGTGCTAACACTGCCCCAATTGTTAATTAACGACCTGATCATTTCTACATTATTTTCCTGCAGTGAACATCCCAAGGGTAAGTATTTTAGACCCATAAACATTTACATAAATTACAGAAACTGTTTTTAAAATAAAATGGGATGAATTCAAAAAGATTGAAGAAATAAAAGAAATGTCAAGGTAACAACTAGTATCAACTAGGGCTGTACCGAATATTCGCTTCGTATTCGCTACGGGGCCGAATAGTTGACATATTGACTATTCGGTATTCTGCTGAATAGCTGTGGTCGAGCTGAATACGAATAGTAGTTACCTTACATCCGCTTTTGCATACACGACCTTAATGCTGACGACATGGAACGATTGGTTTTGTTGAAGGTGACTGCAGCTTTCATGCATTAACTAAGCTGTCAGTGACAATTTACAAGTTTAGTTACTTGTTATATACTTAGTATTCTTTCATTCCTAGTTATTAGTTACCACAGACTGACTGAAGGATGCAAAACATAAAATGTTTTTTTTAATGTTTACTATTCTGTACGAATACTAACTAGACATGGAAAGAATATAAACTCCGGCCACACCCAAGTCGATAATATGAAAATCAAACGAACGGAAACATAAAAGTACTTGGGTGCAAACTTCAACTGCTCCAACATGCTGAGAGAAGAAATACAATCTTGAATACAATCTAGAAATAAAGTATACTATGCCCTTCAACATCTGCAAAAGTCAAAGTGTATGTCTCGCAACACCAAGATCAAAATATATATAACGTTCATAAGACCAGTCGTTTTTTATGGCTCTTAAACTTGAAACAGAAATAAAAGAGATGAGGCCTTATAACAGGTTTTCAAAAAGTCTTACCACAAATCTTTGGACCCATCAAAGATGCTAACAGCGGGGAATGGAGAGTGAGAAGCAACAACGTAACACATAATCTGTTTAAATCACCATTGATCACTGGCAGCTAACAGACTAAAATTGTTGAGGCATACTGAAAGAATGTCAGATGACAGAGAAGTAAAAGTAAAAACTGTATACACCTGAGAGAGGAATGGTCGTAGACCACGAGGCAGACAAAAAAGAAGTTAATGTCCAGCCAGACCTGCAAACAACTGGTGTCATAAATTGTGAAGAGAGGGCAAGCCAGAGAGATGAATGGAGACGAGTGATATCTGTAGCAGTAAACCTTAAGGGCTCAGAATGCTAAAGAAGAAGATGAATATTCTGTGCTACTTTATGTGAAGTAAAAGTTCAGTGTACATTTGACATTATGCATGAGTTTTTTCCCCAGATATACTTTACAGACTATATACTATTCGTATTCGTATTCGGCCGAATAGTTGGCCCCGTTATTCGTATTCTGCCGAATAGTGAAAATCACTATTCGGTACAGAACTAGTATCAACAGTTAAAGTTATAAGACAGAGAAGATGAAGCTACTCTGGACACATTCTGGGAAGAAACCAGCAGAGAATTACCAAACAGGCGTTAAAATGGGAAATGGAGAGATTAAGGAGGCAAGCATGCCCTAAAGAAACCCTACGATGAACGTTCATGAGAGAGGCCAAAGGTGCTAGACTGGATTCCATTCATGATACTGAACTGATTGTACAAGACAGAGCCCAATGGAGGAACAGACTGTGAGTCCTGTGTGATAGATAATGGCACAACAGGATAAGGAAGGAAGGCAGGCAGGCAGGCAGGCAGGCAGGCAGGCAGGCAGGAAGGAAGGAGGAGGAGGGAGGGAGGCAGGCAGGCAGGCAGGCAGGCAGGCAGGCAGGCAGGCAGGCAGGAAGGAAGGAAGGAAGGAAGGAAGGAAGGAAGGAAGGAAGGAAGGAAGGAAGGAAGGAAGGAAGGAAGGAAGGAAGGAAGGAAGCAAGGAAGGAAGGAAGGAAGGAAGGAAGGAAGGAAGGAAGGAAGGAAGGAAGCAAGGAAGGAAGGAAGGAAGGAAGGAAGGAAGCAAGGAAGCAAGGAAGGAAGCAAGGAAGGAAGCAAGGAAGGAAGGAAGGAAGGAAGGAAGGAGGGTGGGAGGGAGGGAGGGAAGAGGGGAGGGAGGGAAGGAGGGAAGGAAGGAAGGAAGGAGGGTAGGAGGGAGGAAGAGGGGAGGGAGGAAAGGAAGGAAGGAGGGAAGAAGAAGGAAGGAAGGAAGGAAGGAAGGAAGGAAGGAAGGAAGGAAGGAAGGAAGGAAGAAGGAAGGAAGGAAGGAAGGAAGAAGGAAGGAAGGAGGCAGGCAGGCAGGCAGGCAGGCAGGCAGGCAGGCAGGCAGGCAGGCAGGAAGGAAGGAAGGAGGAAGGAAGGAAGGAAGGAAGGAAGGAAGGAAGGGAAGGAAGGGAGGGAGGGAGGGAGGGAGGGAGGAAGGAAGGAAGGAAGGAAGGAAGGAAGAAGGAAGGAAGGAAGGAAGGAAGGAAGGAAGGAAGGAAGGAAGGAAGGGAGGGAGGGAGGGAGGAAGGAAGGAAGGAAGGAAGGAAGGAAGGAAGGAAGGAAGGAAGGAAGGAAGGAAGGAAGGAAGGAAGGAAGGAAGGAAGGAGGGAGGGAAGGAAGGAAGGAGGGAGGGAGGGAGGGAAGAGGGGAGGGAGGGAAGGAAGGAGGGAGGGAAGGAAGGAAGGAAGGAAGGAAGGAAGGAAGGAAGGAAGGAAGGAAGGAAGGAAGGAAGGAAGGAAGGAAGGAAGGAAGGAAGGAAGGAAGGAAGGCAGGCAGGCAGGCAGGCAGGCAGGCAGCAAGGAAGGAAGGAAGGAAGGAAGGGAGGGAGGAGGGAGGGAGGGGAGGGAGGGAGGAGGGAGGGGGAGGGAGGGAGGAAGGAAGGAAGGAAGGAAGGAAGGAAGGAAGGAAGGAAGGAAGGAAGGAAGGAAGGAAGGAAGGAAGGAAGGAAGGAAGAAGGAAGGAAGGAAGGAAGGAAGGAAGGAAGGAAGGAAGAAGGAAGGAAGGAAGGAAGGAAGGGAAGGAAGGAAGGAAGGAAGGAAGAAGGAAGGAAGGAAGGAAGGAAGGAAGGAAGGAAGCAAAGGAAGGAAGCAAGGAAGGAAGGAAGGAAGGAAGGAAGGAAGAACAGAAGGAAGGAAGGAAGGAAGGAAGGAAAAAACAGCATACTAGATAACATACTGTTGTAAATTTGTGTGTGTGTAGGGAGGGAGGGAGGGAGGGAGGGAGGGAGGGGGAAGGAAGGAAGGAATGGAAGGAAGGAAGGAAGGAAGGAAGGAAGGAAGGAAGGAAGTATCTGGAAGGAAGGAAGGAAGGAAGGAAGGAAGGAAGGAAGGAAGGAAGGAAGGAAGGAAGGAAGGAAGGAAGGAAGGAAGGAAGGAAGGAAGGAAGGAAGGAAGGAAGGAAGGAAGGAAGGAAGGAAGGAAGCAAGGAAGGAAGGAAGGAAGGAAGGAAGGAAGGAAGGAAGGAAGGAAGCAAGGAAGGAAGGAAGGAAAAAACAGCATACTAGATAACATACTGTTGTAATTTGTGTGTGTGTAGGAAGCTGTCTGTCACCTGCTTTTAGGCTCTCTAATTTGAGACTTCCTCCTTTGGTTCATGAGTTCAGATGTTTACAAATTCCCTGTGGGTCTTGGCTGGGGCTACAGTTGTGTACTTTGTGCTACATTTTCAGTTGGTAAAGACTTGGTGTATGACGAAAGACTGAGCCATGTCTCAATCAGTTTCATGCAGTTTTTACTTCAATACTTTCTATTGTAAGTTTTCACACCGTAGAGTAGACAGTTGTTAATTTGAATGAGCCTTATATAACCTAGTTATGAGAAAGAAAAGATAATATTTCATACAAATAAACAAGAAACAACTGGGATAGCATCATGTGTCTATCATCGAGGCAGCCAGAAAAAACAGGAATCACAATCTTTTATCTCTCTCGACACCTGAAACAGTAAAAGAGAAAGTGAAGAAGAATGTTGAATGTTGAATTAAGATCGACATCACAGCACTCGGGACACTCCCTAAGTGCTCAGTCTCTATCTTCAGCAACAAGCAAAGAGTTCTAATTCCGATGGTACCAGTAACCGTCTGTATATCCGTCTTATCCTTCCCCTGAGTGTTGAGTATTGGCCAGATCCCCTGTAACTCCTCGCAGCGCCATTCTCCTCAGACCATAATGATCTATCTGCGCCTCAGCACTGTTCACTCGCTCCCAAATGGTCCTCACAAAAAGTGAAGAAGAAGAAAAAAGAATGATTAGGATAACATAACAAAAGACAAGAAAACAAGAAACATAAATTTGTACTGTACATGGTGTTACCAGTAAACATTTGGTGAGCTTTTGGAACTGAAAGGGTTAATTTGGACAAATTATTCAAAATTATAATAAATACAATTTATCTTCACAACATGTGTCCAAATTATCATATCACATTACTTACAGATTTTATTTTCTTTAAAAGCTGATTTTGTTTATGTTCAAATTTCTGCTGCTCTTTGGCAATCTCCTTCATTATTTCTGCCCTGGAAAAAAAAGACATTAAAGATACTATATGACGAAGTAAATGTTGTAACATGGTTATTCCAATCCGATTTAAAATGTAATATTAAGTAATACAGAAAAGTATTAGCCACAATGAAATTCTTGAAGTCATTTAAAAGACATGAGAAATAAACTCATGAGAGTACTGATAAGCACTTATTAAGGTAGTAGTAATAACCCACTAAAGGTCAAGGTAAAGTCGGGAGATGTTAACCAGCATCATTGCACACGGTTATAAGCCATAAGTGCTCTGCCACCAGTACGGACAGCTGATAAGAATTGTCTGCCTGTGTCGCTGACTGCACGTAACTCTGTGGCTACAGCGACGTTCCTCCATTTACCCCAGTGTGTCAACTCTGGTACCAATTTCCTAGAGGCTGGGTGAACCCCGGAAGCCTCCCGGTTTCGAACACCGACCGTGGGCTGCAGTGAGTCACAGGTGGATTTGAAAGCGAGCCTCTTAATGACTGCGCTAATGCGGCCCCATCCACTGTCAGTTCCTGGGGTCCATGGAGTTGTGCTGCTAGTTTTGGTAGCCGCGTCTGCTATGACTGTGAAGTTCAATGCAGGAGTGGCTGTCTCTGCCACATGGACCACACAAAAACATGAATACTCTCTATCAATCTGAGGCTTGTTTTCTTTCTGATGTCTCCTTTCTATAACTTGCTGAATTTTGCTTCTTTCAACCTGCGACAGTTTGCCTTTCACTGTCTGCCTCCAAAGGAGTCAGTCTGTAGCTGATCTCTCCCAAGTATCTATGTCAATGTTGATAGCTTTCAGGTCACATTTACCCTGAGCACATACTGCAGTAATGCCCTAACTTCTCCCAGCAAAGACTGAGGATCTGGCCCAAGGGAGCCACATAGCAAGAGAAGCTATGGGGGACTGGTGGCGACCTTAAGTGCACATTCCTATTTGTGACCCAGATGGGACTCAATGTTTAGCATGACCGATGTCGAATGCAGAAGAAGAACATTTGCATATGTCCTTATAATGCAGCATATTAAGATGAGCTTTCCTGCACATCTTATCCCTGCTACCAGTCCACCATACTCATTAAAGACATAACAATAGAAAAGTAAGAAATCAGAGAACACACTAGACAACAGAAATCTGCAAGTGTTGATGCATTAGAATTTAAAATGTCACCTATAACCAACAACAATGCTAAAAGAGAACAGGTGTCATTTTACACTTAGCCAGCAAATCACCCTTTTTAAGATGAAATAACTTTTTTTCTTGCTTTATATGAGTGCAAATCATAACCAGATTTTACTAATTTTTAGTAACTCCTCTTCCTCCTTATCCTCCACCGCCTTCTTCCTTTTCTTACGTTTTGTCCAAACAATGATGTTTTCCTGAATATTCTGGTGCTGGTCTCAAATTCAGTGTATCAGTATTATCTTTTGCTGTTCTGACAATGAATTTCGGTTTCTCTTCAGAGCACCGATGAAGAAAGTTTGCTGATTCCAAGTGACTTTTAGTTTCTGTATTAACTTCTTTGTTAACATGCTTCTCTTCAGCTATGAATCACAATTTGCTTGTTGTCTTGTATGATGTAAATGTCTCATAGACAATTTTGTTCCCTGAAATTTGCCACACAGGTTTTTCAATAGCATACATAACTGATTAAAAAAATATACATTTCTACCACAATGTAACCAATTATTTATTCAAGAATCAACATTATAGCACAATGGGCAAACCCACAGATGCTCCGTCTCCTGCAGCAAATATCTTAAGTTATAGATGCTAATTTTTTCCCACAGCACACTGATTATACACACAACAACAATACAGCAGAAGGTAAAATGACAATAATATCTTACCGCTTTCTCTGAACATTCACAATCTCTTTCAGCTGGTGCTCTAACTGTAAGGTAAGTGTTTTCTCCTCAGTTTCCAGTTTGCTTCTTGATGTTTCATAGTGTCTGAGACTCTGAAAGTAGGCACAGCTGAAGTTAAACTTCCTTTTACACATTTTTTGTGTGTGTGTGGCAATTCCCCGTGTAGGTTCTGGGGCCCAATTGTGGGGAAAACAAGAATAGACCTACTGCTTGTTCAAAAGCATGTCATAAGAGTCGACTAATTGGGAGCTTTCTTCGAAGTTGGAGTACATCTGCCTGAGAGGCACGGAACCAACAGTCAGACTGTGAAACAGTTGTGCATGCAAACTCAAATTCTGGAACAGGACTAGAATCCAGGGGTAGGCAAACTACCAGGGCATTCGGTCGGAGTTTACAGCCAATGAACACGAAGAAGAAGAATAAAAGAAGAGTCTGGCGATTAACTAAACCGTCTCCTAGATTTATGACATATGCAATTTACGACCATCCCCATCTTAGACACACACACACACAAAATACAAATAGTAAATAAAGAAAGATAATTACACTGGTGGGTCAAAAAGTTTCAGGAACTAATGCCTAGAATGTAATAAGATGCCCATGTACAATAATTATATGCACATAGATTGCCTTTACATGTTTTATGCATAATTTTAAAAACCCTTCTGAATGAACATTTTGTTGTAAAATATAAATTTGACTTAGGACCAGTTGACTAGATTGTTAGTCAGGCGGAAAATCAGTCATAATTTTAAAGAAACCCTTACTGAAAAAGGGGGGGGGGGGGGGTTCCATATAAAGGGTTAAGGGGTTTTTCCTTGCGCTCTAAAGGTCATGGGTACATTTCATAGATTCTGTTGGGGTTTGAGTGACATTTTTGGGGATCTTGTGGTCATCATGGAAACTAGAGCGGCTTTGTGCAAAACTCTTGGAAAATGGGTTTGCCATTTGCTAGAGACCAGTCATATGAGATCAAATCTGATACAATTAAGCTGATTCTCTTACTTCAGAATGTGACTGATACTTTAATAACCGACTTTTTATCTTACTTTTTTTATGTTCAGACTTCAAATCGGTGGGAAGGTTGGTTGTTTGCCCACTTCTGGACTTTGATCTTTTTCCAGAAGCTGAGTTGTGTATGCAGACTGTTGCCTCCTCACCTCTCAGGCAGATGCACTCCGACTCCAAATGAAATATTGCTTATCAGTTGTGTTGTAAGACATGCTTGTTAGACAGCAGGGTTTTTTCATTTCCCCCAAAAAGGCCTGAAACCCCCCATGAACATAAACCCGACCGAAACAGAAAAAAAAAGGGGGTTTGGTTAAGCAAACCTTAAACATGTTCCTAAGACAGGAAGCAGTGGAAGCTCTGCAAATTTTACACATATTTTTAAAACAGGAAAAAGTTGACAACATGAGAAAGTTGGAGTGAGGTTATCGGCAGCACAGAATATCAGACCAGACGTTATATTTACATCTATTCATCACTCTCACCTTTTTAATTGTATCCAATCTGCCTTCACTGTCCATGAGTTTTTCTGTAAGCGCATCAAGTTCTCTGATTTTTTGTAACAAAGGGCATTAAAAATTTAAAAATTTTTTAAAAAACAACTTTAAAAAAATTTTGCTAAATTTTAACAAGGGGGTTCCCCGTAGTTTT